GAAGTCTATCTGACAGTGTCTGTAGTATACATAAACTGCACAATGCGATCAAATTTATAGACATATTTATCCGCTAGAAAAACACATCAATTACACGAAATTCACTTAGATTATCAAGATTTCAGATTTAAGTACTGTTGTTGGACATATTTTGTATTGAAGGAGGTTTCAACAGTTACGCATTATTACTGTATATTTTAATAGTTATTTTTCGAAGCGCTATTATTACTAAACGCAGTAAATGTCTCTCGCCAGTCGAGCTCGGAAGTCAAAAAGAAAATTTGAGTAAGCATAGCGATATATTTTTTCCAGTGAATGTTCTGATGAAATACTTTGATATTTCGAAAGATATTGTTTTGTTGTGTACTGTCTGACTATGTATATATCCTTGACTTGATTCATAGCATATGAAATTTGATACTATCTTGAAATAATAAACAACTTAAGCGTATTTGGCGTTTATCGAGATAGTGCAGCAATTCAACGATTTTATTTTTATCAAACAGGTATTCGAGATACAAATTATCTTATGCCGAAGGCAGAGTGAATTGTATCACCCATCCCTGCTTCGTGAATATTTCTCATAAATCCAATTTTTTTGGACCTTGTCGACTCATTTCATAATGCTGGAAACTTATGATATATTTCTAATTTGCTTTCCCAGTGGATCTAGGTCAGCGAACTTTCCAGCGGGTCATGTCATGGAATCTACTGTTAATTTATAAACGCTTTAAAATGGTAATCACTGACTTGTCAATCCAAGTTTTCTCAGTCTACAAGCTTTCCAGTCTTTCGGCAATGTCGAAACGAGCCTTGAGCTTGATATCCTCGTCAGGTCTTTAGTATATATATATGTTCGTTCTGATATTAACCGTAATGACGCATCCAATCTACGTGGGTAAACCACTCAAAATGAAATTGATCGAAGGTTCAGATATTTGTCGTGATATTTCAGCTACATAACGCAATCTAATAATAGGGAAGGTAATATATATCAGTTCGAATGTTGTAATTCAATTAAATTGTGGTTCAATTAACGTACATGTTTAAAAAAAGTTTTGTTTTGGACGATAAGATGTTGATTCCGGAATAGCAGCCGATGTAAGCCAATATCGCACTAGTCTCTTAGTCGGTAGTTTTAACTGTAGCTACAGTATCAACCGAAACAAGCGTTCCAACCTTCACCTCATACCCGATTGACGTGAAGTCAGTGATGAGCTGGAAAAATCGTAACAACCGGAACGCACTTAATTCGCAAAAATGTAATATATTTACAACACGACACGGACGTTTACAGAATGTTTTGACTGTCTTAAGATAGAGTCGAAAAACTGCAATGAAATATGAAGAAATTTTATGAAATATGGCTGTGTAGAATGACAAGAAAATTTATAGCAATTCAATACAAATGTTATTTTTAGAAAGGTACCGTATAGGATGAATTTCGATGGGGTCAAAGGTCGGGGATATATCTATTACACGTTACTTCCGTACTAATTATTTATGTAAGAAGAATAACAAAATATCGTCACGTTAATAACCGAATTGCGTAAGTCATTTTTGGCGATTTTGAGTTTTTTATAAAATAGGTATTTATGTAATGCTGCGCACCTGTCTGTTAACTCAGATTTTATTTTAAGAATTCCGAAACCCCTAAAAATGGAGATTTAGTATGACATGCACATTTGTGCAATTGTTTCGTCATAATGAATTATCATTGTCCCGCAGGACTATTGTGTCGTCACAAAAGCAAAATGGCCTCGCCGAAGTATTTTCGAGTTTTTGCATCTCGGATTCTAGCTTAGCGCGTATTAATTTGAATTTATACTACAGTATAGGAAGACGTGCACTTGTGATATTCACTGTCCGAGTCCAATTCACCTTGGTTGGCTTTTATATTGGGTGCATTGCTGTTTTATTTTTTATATTTAATCTTAGTCCTATTTCGGTGGGTTTGCAGAACGTGTTATATTGATGAAATATATATTTTTAAACATGAAAAATAATGTAATTAAAACAGATTAGACATTGTAGATACTGAGAATTACATTCGTTTCTGGAATGTTTAGTTTTCAGGACTGGTGCATATAGTAAAGTTGCAAAATTGCGTATGTCCCCCCAAGTCATAGACACATTTCTGCCTAAGTCACAGTGCGCCATTATGACGTCACTTAACTGCGTCATACAAATTAACTTAAATCCGGCTACGATCAAAAAATTGGCCCATGGCAAATGATTGACTCTAAATGGCATAACAATATCATTAGGAAGTTTTTTACGTTTTTCTCGAAACTGCTAAAAATGACTTACGCAATTCGGTTATTAGCGTGACGATTTAATGTAACAAAACATGACTTAATAACTAGTTTAACCAGAGAAACTAGACTTTGCGTTGTGCGTTCCGGCTACAGCTCACCACTGCGTGAGGTGATATTTCAACGTATAAGAATATTCTTGCAATAAAGAATTGATTTACATCGTACACGTTGCAATTTGAAGACCACGTTCAAGTTATTACATCTCAAGGGACGTTGTTACATATTCTTATCACACTTTCATCATTATGTCTGTCAGTTGCCGCTTAGATTTAATTTACCGTGAATAATATAGAAGAGTAGAATGAAATTCTGAAGATAGACTTCATTATCCATACTGCGTTGAGTATTACTCTTATTGGCAGGCAAAAGAGAGCTTGTTACTTATTGCAAATATGAAGATGGTTTATTACTTTGCTTACAGTACGAGCTATAACCATGGGCTTGAGTCGAACGCGAGAGACCCTATGTGTAAGCTACTCAATAAAATTATTATTGTAAGTATAAATCAATGATTCCATGAAAACAATTGTTTGAATGTACTCAAAAAGTTCAATTCAGTCTCAATATAAATATATGATAAGTTCCTGGTCATTATGTAAACATGAACAGCACTTGTAAAATAAGTCATGGGTATGACACAATCTTTTCGGCAAATGGCTGACTTAGCAACCGGAAATCTGAAAGAACTTCGTTAGTCCATATCGTCTTGATCGAACGGATTCAATGACCAACGATGGCCATGTGTTTGTTTCATTTGTTGCAATCATACTGTGGCTGATTGTAAGAACTGGTGAAAAAATACCACAATGAGACCAAACGTTAGTATAACACTTGACTGTGACATAAGAGAGAATATCCCATTCCAAAACATAGGATTTTTCTCAACAAATATCTTTGTTTAGTTAAAATGAAAGAAACTTAAAATAATCATTTCCTATAAGTGATAGGAAATTCTGAAACCAGAGATATACGCACTTTTTACCCCCAAATAGTTGTTTATATGAAATTTGAACCTTTTGTACCCCAAAAAGTCAAGTGGGTGATTTTGGAACATTGGTACTGTGGAAAGTTGAATCTTTTTTTAGACATATCGTGTTAATATTTTGTACGCCTAAAAACTCCGGTAGGACTTTCCAGTTACTCAAGTTTATCTTATCAATATGAATAGCAACTAATTTATGGCCATATTCGTGAGATTTCGAAATTTTTTTGATACAAGATTAATTACGTCAGACTAGAAAAAGGGACATAGTTGAAAGTATTTTTTTAGTTGACTTCATCACAGTAATACTGATGCAGTAGATTAAAATGAGATAACAATACAACTAATTTAGTATTATCATTCTATTCTACAAAAGATTTACATGATACAACAAATTCTTATGTTTGTACCGTATTTTACAGACCAAAAGGCGAACTGCATTATAAGCACTGCACTATCAATATAGTGCTTAGATTGTTTTTTTGTCCATAGTATACATGGGGCGCTTCGGTCTATGGGACGCAATGGTTTTTAAAGCAATATCGGTAATGGTTTTGAGTGTACGCAGTAATACATAAAACACTCACTACCTGATCCATACATTAGGCACACCAGCTTACGAGGCGATCGAATTTTGCGAAAAAGATTCAAATTGGTCAAATACGGTATTTAAATTTTCGTGTTGAGCGAGCTATATAACTATACAAGCTTATCACTATGTGTGCGATTGATATTGCATTAACAGGGATGTTGTTTCAATGTTATTTATTAGGCCGAGGCACTAGTAGATAACTAAAGAAAATATTGAGGTTGAGTTTATAAAAGAAATGTTGGGACAGACCGTTTTTATGTAATATAATCTATAATGTTTAGTTTTTGTATCTTCGATTCAATGCAGGAATGAGACCAGCCCTGGTGGCCGTAATTTTTTACATTATTTTAAAAAGATTAATTCTAAAGTGATTTTTCTCAATATATTTATAATAAATATATATTTATGAAATGTATCGTATGAAAGAATTGGACGTTATCAGCTTTTAGAAGTCACATATAATATGCTAGTTTTTTAAGTAGGCCTATATTCATACGAAAAAGCACAATTTATCTATTCCACTGAGCATTGAGGTTCGCAAACGTTTTATCAATTTTCTTTAATTAATCCCAGTGGAGATAAATGGGCCAATTCAAATCCATCAATTTTTGAAAAAAAGAAGTTAATGTACCACGAAAAATATATTATGACAAAATTGTAGTCTAACCTTAACGGACAAGATTGTATATATATTCATCACTTATTTTAATTTCTGAATGTCGGATTCATAGTATGACGTGATCGAAATTTTGAATAAATTTTTCTTTCTTAAGAAAATCATCCATATATGAATTATCATTTTAGTTTTCTGTCAGAATATAGTTGCTCAAACTATAAGTTTGTTGGTGTCTTTTGTGATAGAAATATTGAAAATGTGGAGGTATTTTTCTTCAGTTGCCTAATTTATTCGTAACACGACTAAATCATCTCTGTCAAATGTTTTAAACTCAGATTATGTTGCATTATTATCTATTTTTATGCCGGCCTTCTATGGTAGTATGCTTCAAACTTCGAAGACAGAAACTTGCGATATTGATTTTTGACGACTTTTTTTGTTTATTTTTTTTATTTCTATTTCGATGCGACAGCTCTCTAGTGACGGTTTTATCGTCACAAAAAAGTTATTGTTTCAATCTGAAAATAATCATTATCGATGGCATCGAGGTGTCATATATTGGTGTTAATGTAGAATTTAATATCCTGAAAAGGTTTTTGAAAAATATGATGTATATATCACGTTATTTATGACAGGACGGTTCATTTCTCTACTTACTTTGACGATCATTATATTGTTAAAACAATAGAAATCTAAAGTACAACAACTAATATGCGAGGAATATCAATATGGATAATCGGTATGGTATTTGGTAAGTTCGTTTCATATATATTAATGTCACCCAGCATTGTCTGTTAGTCCGTTCTGCTTATAAGACTCATTTTAATTTAAGAGTAGAATACCCCATATGGCATAATGGTGCATTTGTCTGGAAATCTGGGAATAAAAGGTTACACGTTCTTGTCAATAAATCAATGGATTATAGTTAGTAAACGTTTTATAAAATTGTCGACCGTGTTGTTAAAGTTACTTTTGCAATGTATATATTCAATTTTAATACTGTATGCAAACAATGAGTTTATATAAGACAACAATGAGTACAATACTTTTGGTACTCCCGAAGTATGTGAACCAAGATGGCGGACACCGGAACGTAGTATATGTACCAGGTTAGGGTTAGGCCATAATTTTATTTCAATTTTCCTCATTCTAGTTCTAATACGAGTACGGGGACTAGCCAAGTGACTCCCGTAGTAGTTGTACCTGAAATCATGGCCTAACCCTAACCTGGTACACATGCTACGTTCCGATGTCCGCCATCTTGGTTCACATACTTCGGGAGTACCCAATATTCTGTAAAAAAAATTCTTTAAATGGTTAATTCTATTTGCTCTCTGTTTCACAATCTCCATTCTTTATTTATAAGGAATGATACGTGAAACAGTTAATGCTGCAGCATCATATGGAATTGGTGATTGTAAATTCTGGGAGTATAAATGCAATTCAGGTGATTGCATTAATATTCGATTCTTTTGTGACGGAGTGAACGATTGTCCAGATAAAAGCGACGAGATAATTGAAAGAGGTTTGCATCCTTCATCGTATTGACATATTTTTCCAAAAATATTTTGAATTTTTTGCTAATACAGATTAAGGGAGCTCAAAACCAATATCATTTACGTCGTACAACTCTTTTCGTAATTCCAAGTAAAGTTTAATGAATATCGTTCGATTTATTTTAGCCCTGAATGAAAATCCTACGTAGCTGCTAAAATGAAAGTTTAAAGAAACGCGAGTTTTCCTTTTTCCATAATTTTATAGATTGACTATAATAAACTACGGAAGTGCTTAGGTTTTAGATTTTCATAACAATAATTTTGAAGTCACGAAAAGTGAGTTTTCAAAACAGTAATAGGATTAGGGTTCATGCAGTGCAACGTTGAAATCTCTTATTCAATTAGTTTGATTGTCGCTAAAGTTACAGAAATATGTCGTTCAAGCTTGGGCATATTGCAATTACAATATTGAGTTGAACGTATCCGAATACAATTCCCGTTAGGTGATTTAAAACTATTTGATGAATTTCTCAATGAAACTGAATTTATTCTTTTATTGATACTAAAATTGCTTACCTAAAATTTAAAACTTAATTTTCATGACAAGTGGAGGATATTTTTTAATTTATACTGATTGTCTCGAACCTGAAGCATTCTAGTATCATACTCATACTACATTTTGTGTGGCGAAGAGTGTGGGTGATGATACATAATGTAGATTCGGATGCAACAAAATAAATGTTTTAGGTTGAATTTATGAATAATTCTGATATAGTAATTCTATAATGTAATATATTTTAGGCGATGCCGCATGTGGAAATCCACTTAACGATTTCAATCAACAATGCAAGTTACCTGAACAATACTTCTGTGATAGTATCCATCATTGTTACAATAAAACAGACGAAAATGACGCATTATGCAAAAATAACAAGTATTTCTTGTTTGGTTATATTTCATATATATATTTGGATTGATTTTTCGCAATATCTCTAACCATATCTTCGATCACTAGAATTAACATATGCTGCCATTTCTATGATTTGATCCACCCCAGTCACTCTCATATGAAGATCCCCCAGGGGATAAATCATATGAAAATGTGGTCATAGTGACGTCAGGTTAGCGTTTATTATTGTTAAGGTCAGATCCTTCCATCCAGACTCGATCTTATAAAGATCCTCGACACCAGGCTAGACCACCTCCAAGTAGGTTATTATAATTGGCGTCTAATCAAGTACTTCACTCTCTTAATTTCTTTTTCTGAAAATATTTTCGATTGTGGTTTAGATACGTCATGCAGTGTATATTCTATGGTCATTGTTTGAATAAGTTGTTTGTGAATTGTGGAGATCAACCGGGTTTTCAATGTTCAAATAAAATCCCTTGTAGAGGTAATTTGTTGGTTTTATTTCAACTAAATCGTTCAAATGAATCATATCGAAAAATCGGATTCCTCTGGTAAATTAATTATGTATTGCAAGATTATTTGAAAAATTTTTGAATTCTGTAATGGAAATCGGTAAGTTTAGTAAAATAATAAAACAAATAATTATTACTTGCCATTCCAGGTGATATATGCTCTCGCCGTGGTGGTGCAAGACATATTATTGATTTGACAAAAGAGTGTGAATCCATATCAACATTCAGGTAAGGTGAAAACAATTTTTTTTGGGTTTTTCGACAGTTTTATTTAAATATCTAGCTATGAATACCTGAAGTGTATTTTGCAAAATCCGTCATTTGTGATTGTAGTATATAACTCTCAAAGGACCATAGACACGCCATTCGCAAATAAATAAATACTATTTAAACTCCACTGAAAAATTAAACAACGAAGGTTCAATATTTTGCCCGGTATAGAGCATATTGCCATAGTGCTTTTTTCAAACCAACAATATAATTTTGTTCATTACAATCATGCTTTACAATGCATTTGGTCCAACTATGAAAACGACGATTTGTTCCCGTGTGGCATGATCACCCGCGAGAGAATGACCAAAAAAAGTTGGATATTGCTTCATCTACCAATCACACCAAGGCAACAGTAAACGTATTCTTATGCCAGGACTGTTCGGATAATTGGATGAAAGGCTTAATCTAATCAATTAATAGAATGAGTAAAATACGAAATGAACCACAGCCTGTGTAATATTGTAATTCAATGAGCAGCAACATTTTATAAATCTGATGCTAAATTAATTTTTGGCTTTGCTTTTCAAACAAAAAACACGGTAATTGAATTTCGAATTTAGTCTGATAAATCTAAATTGAATAATTTGATAGCAACGAATAATTTTTTTGACTTTGTACTCGGAAACGTCGAAATTACAAAAACCATATTTTTTTGTAACCGTTTGGAATAAGTTTATAGAGTGTGTGACGAATATTGCACATTTAAAACCATCCCATGTTCGTTCAAAATGAACATAGAAGCAGCAATTGATAAATATAATAGTGCACAATATACATTCAATTTGATTGTGTGAATATTTGAAGGCAGTTGGTCATAGAAGTCAATGAACTAATTAATGCTTCGGCACAAGATATTTCCAGTTGCAAATTTATAGATATGTACGATTTTTCCATTAACAAAAAATAAGGTGTTGTTTGATGGTAGGGAAATATTTTTCATGCGCAAAGATTCCCCCATTTTAAATCGATAAACCCAAGAAAAGACACCATTGTTTTCTGTAAAATAACACGTCAAATTAAAAGGAAATTTGAAATACATGACAATAAAAGGAGGAAATAATTAAGCTTATGTTGTGTCAGATTATCAACCCGATATTGTACGTCATAAGAAGATCTAAAAGTTTGGAAATAATTAAAAATATTAATGAAATTATTTGTGATTTACAGTTATTAGGTTCTAGGATATTACACAAACAAGTGCGCCCCATTCTTAACATTGAAAATTGGAGTTGTGAAACTGGTCAAAATTTCTTAAAAATATTAGTTGAATTTATCGAAAGATTTTAAACGCTCAGTCAACTCATGAGGTTTTGATGGAAACTAATTCCTTAATTATCGACAATAAATCTTGGAAAGTCGAAAACTCCATTACTGAAAAATGTTTGTGGAGAAAATTTGACAACACGCCAGTCAATAAATCTGTTTGCTTTCTCATTATAAATAGATACACGTAATTTGAGTTCAACTACAAGTGCACTCAAGCAGCGTTTGATTTTCTAATCAATAACCTTGAAAATTACAGTTAGCTGTATTAAATACATGATTTAGAATTCGTACAGAAAGATATTCTTTGTTTTATGGCGATGACGAATAATATTACAAATTAACTGCCTGCTCAAGAAGTTACGATTCATGGATCATTTTGCTAAACTGTTTCTCTTGATGGAGGTGGTAATGTTGTTGTCGTTAGAACCATTTTTTTTTTTCATTTTCAAGTATTTGAACATTCTATAAAATTAGCATTTTCATTTTTCACCATATTATCTTCTGGGCTCGTTCTAACTCAGGCTTGATTCCTCTGATCTGGTGTTCAACAGAATGCATCACGCACGGCAAAATGTCCTGACGTTAACGGTACTTTTTTCTAGCATAGGCTACTCATATATAAATATATATATGTCCGTTACTTTCTTTTATTGATTTATTAAATACACGCAAGTGAAGACTGAGCTGTTTGAGTGGTACAATTTCAATTATGGTTCTTATACTACAGTTGCAACTCCGGAGAATGTTTGGATCCAGATAAATTTTGCGACGGAATAATAGATTGCAAGGATGGTAGTGATGAAGTCATACCAAATGCTACAAACATTGAAATAGGTAAATGGATACTACTATTCTGAAGACATAATAAAGAACCTATTAAGATTGTGACGTATTTTTTACAGGAATATCCTGCAGTAACAAATGGAATAATGTTGCACAGCATTGTGTTTTACCTTCCAGATATATTTGCGATAATATTGATCATTGTGATGATAGAGTTGATGAATGCCAACCGGAATGCAACCATTCATTTCTATGTAACAACGGGAAATGTCTTTGGGGAAATAATGTAAATATGAATGCTCACCAGATCCTTATATTACATATTAGTATTGTTTGTCACAACTATGTCGACAGCACAAGGTGTAAATTTTTCCATAAACAAAACTATCAGACAATGTTAAGCTGAAATTTATAATGCAATTATGCTTTGAAAGTTCCTATTCCGTAGTTTTTTTTTTAATTTTTTTCAAAACATAAAGACGTCATTACAGTAAAAACTTATCAGATAATTTTAATTATAGCATATTTTGTGTTTATGATCGAGGTGGTAGGGTTTTTCAGATTAAGACTAATTCATTTTTTGATCGTTTTTAATTAACGAATTAATTATATCAACTCTACCCTGATTGGAAATTTTATATTCTGTTTCATAAGTTTTAAACCGGTTATTCCGAAATATTTCTTTGCAATTTAAAAACGATTTAAAACTAAATAAATAGTGCGAAATTCAATGGCCTCTAGCCTTCAGTCAACCTTGTCTAATGGTAAATGCGACCCTGACCTACGCCCACCAATAATGACTTTTAATTTAGATTTCAATTCTAAGTTCCCTGTACTTTGTATCAAATATAGTATGCTGAAAGCTGCTGGAATGGGCCCAATATCCTACTTTTAGCCTGTTGAGTTTTTGTGGCAACGTAGCAGGTAGGAATAAATTTGCTCAACTCATTTAATCAATACATTTGCCAGTATATGTTTTAATACAGACCGTACCAAGCACTTGTGATGGAAAAGATGATTGTGGTGATTCGAGTGACGAATGCAATTCCATGTGCAGTAAAAATGGAAAAAATGTTTTTTATTGCAAAGATGAAAAAAAAACTTGCATCGCCATTGAATTGTAAGTCAGTTTTAAAATGCTCTAATCGAAACTAGACCATACGGCAGAGGTTCTCAAAGTGCTCCGTACGGAGCCCCAGGGCTCCGCGAGAGAAACCCAGGGGCTCCGCGAGCTATACGATTACTCTTCAAAATACTGACTCAAAATTTTGTAACTGTTCAAAGAAGCAATAACAGCTTTGATAAAATCTGACAAGAATATAGCCTCGAAATATGGTAAAAGGGCGGAAATAAAAAATGACATTATTTATGAGCAGTAGCGCAGCCAGGATTCTTAAGAGGGAGGTGGTTCAAAATTGGAATCGGAAATTTCCGCGCAACATTCTTCGCGATTAAAAAAACGGATAGCGAGATTTCTGTTGCGTAAAATATTCAATCCATGACCGATGGAGCATTTGACGTGTCTCGTCGTTATAATGTAGTTGTGCTCATCGTTACTCACGTTTGATTCGAGATTACTATTAGGATTACTAAAGTGTAAGAATATTATTCTAAAATAACATAAAATATGTGATAAACTGCCAACTATAAATAAATTGGGGTCGTATTTTTGCGATCTTGGGATTTGTCAAACTTGATTTGTTCTTTCGCACTTGAGATTATTTTTAAGCAAGATATCGCCGTTTGAAAAATCACAATGTCTGGGCAAAATACGAACAATTGCAAATTATTTTATTGCATTCAGCTCCGTCGGTAGTTTCAGAATGCGCGGTTATCCTGCCATCCGGTACAAATATTTTTGTGATCTTACTTGTTTTCAATTTTGTTATGCTTTGCCGAGATGGCTAACAAAAAACGATTTGATTGGTTGATTGATAAAAAAAAAGGTAAATCGCGCGCACAATTGACTGTGTTTCGATTTCGCAGTTACTACGATGAAAACCTAACATAACACCAAATTTTGTGATTTACAATGTCTATAGAAGCGTTTTCAATCTGAGTCTGCTGAAACCAAAGTGTGATCTTCCATTTTAAGTTTCAGTTTTAATATTTTAGAATGCCGTTTTTCAATCAAGAAGTTCGAGTTGCGGATTTACCTCTTTATTGATTATTATTTTTAGCATTTCGTCGCCGATGACTGTAATATGGTAACATGTTTTTCACATTGAACTCATAATTCCCAGCGAGAACAAAAAAGCAATTAACGTCGTCATTGTGTAACAATACATGTATATGCCGAGTGAGATTTTTGATTTAGGGAGAATAAACAGCGTCGTAAAGATGTTTAAAACACGCCATGCTGACGGAAAAAATCGGCGATTGTAACAAAATGAAATAGCGCACGTTACTAACGGCATTATAATCAGTCTTTCAAAAATGTCAAAAAAGAAAAGATTCGATCCCTAATTTATTAATATGTCCGTCAAGTGTCAAATTTACAGCTTTAGTATAAAATTTAGATTTATTTATGCCTTGTGTTAACCTAATTAAAAAGGTTCAGCATTTAAAATAAATAAAGTACTTTTAACTTGCTCGGGTATATTAATCTGAGGTAACAATTTTAAAATTTATTTTGGGGCTCCGCGAATAATATTCAACCTTTCAAGGGCTCCGCAACACCAAAAGTTTGAGAACCCCTGCCATACGGCATACGACATACCTTGTGAACTTAAAGTTATCAAAGTGTAATTTTTTAATTGTGTTTTTGTGTAACAAGTTTTTGAGTAGCATGATGTATATCAGTGTCAATCGAAACACTAAATTTTGTTTCGTACCTCCTCGTCGCGTTTCAACCGCACAATACAACCTAGTCTCTAATCTGTTTTTGTGATCCTGTATTGTTTTTTGACCTCGCTTTGAAAACCGAAATCGTGAATTAAATGGTTTGAAGCCATTTTGCGGTCAATGATAATCGTATCAGTGAATGCGTTGAAACGGTGAAACCGTCTGTTGTATGCCTGAAAAAAATTTTATTCGACAGCGTTAGATTTTTTTAGCGCCAAGGCTGTGGCGACAAGAAGTTTGTATGTTGTCGTCAGCCGATAAAAAAAAGCTAATACAGTGAAGCTGTTTGATGAATTCGTAACTCGCTTTGAGGTGTAATACTAGTACAAATGAGCTTTGAAGCAACGCGATGTTCCGTGGAGTAGAAGGCCGTATGCTATACATTTTAATTATTTACATAAACTTCAAGTTGTTTCGATTGATGTTCTAACATTCCATTTGCTAAAAACAACAAACACTACGGGGCATTGATTCAGAACTATCACTCATACAAACTTTTCATCCGATTGAGCAATGTATTGGACGATACCCTTTCGTGATACTTTACAACATAATTTTTTTTCTGGATGAGATTGTGAAACTGTGTAATAGAATTTGTCTTTTTGCGTCTAAGTTTTACAATGCTTCCTATGAATAGCAAAATCAGTCGATTGCTGATCATACGTTAGCTTGACTTTATAAGTATATATCCCTGATGGATTAACAAAAACTATGAATATAATCTGAGGGAGAGAGTTCAAACGCCCCCCGCCATATAATGAAAGGTTTACATTTGAAAGTCGTTATAATATGTCTGTTTGTAATAATTTACTTGTCATGGGAGAGTTGTAATTTACTGCAAGCGTCGCCGTTTTGAGCCCCGCGATTATAAATCTGTTGTTTTGTGACTATAGATGTAAAAACTATAAAACATTGAAACATTTTAGTAATAATTCATAAATACACATTAGGCTTATAAACAGAATACCTAAAATCTATATATGTCAATCGCCGTCTGGCATCTCTGTGAAAAGGATAAATCTATATATGGCTTAGCGCGTGTTCGCTTGTAACAATTCTATCAGTTCTTTTTTCACTATCACGTAAGATCACAATATAGTCATAGTTATACTCAAATTTATTTTTTACATCCAGTAAAAAATAACATACAAAATTGAAAAATAAATAAAATTCAACACACATTTTTACTGGGGACGGTAAGCCACGGGGAACCAAAACTGGTTGTCGAGCAGTGACCCAATATCCGTGGTAAATCATAATAGGTCTGTGATGATGAATATCAGTCTGTTTACTATCGGTTAACTGGTTGATACGAATTGCATAAGATGCCCCAAGCTTTTGTCTCAAACTTTAGAACTGATTCTGAACCTCAATTTCACTGTTCGTAGATTGCCCGGACAATAATTGGTACACTTTGAAACTCCTTTATTGATATTATTGTAGATTTTGACCGATACATACAGAATACAATCAAAAATCCTACGATTGAAACGTACATTAATTACATATATATTTATATGGGATAATATTCCGAGAATTTTCATTTTGATGATGACTGGACAAAAACGTATTTCTGAAAACATAAATTGTGAAATTTGTTCCTATGCGAAATTCATACTTGGTAATTTAGGAATAATTATTTTTAGTACGATTTTTATTTGTATTGTAAGGGTATATATATAAATAAGGTTTGTATTTACTTGTAAGGGTAAATTTAGGGGTTTGGTTGATGATGTCACTTATATCATAAAAACTAGCAACTTGAAAATTTCAGCTGTCTTATGCTTTAATAGTAACTAGTTAAAATACAGACAAATCATTTTTGGTATTTATGTAATTTATTATGAGCTATTTGAAACATCCCAGGCGTGGCAAACCAAATTTGAATTGCAAAATAATCTTTCCCGTGGCGGGGCATAATACAATTAATAAGACACTAATGGTTTACGTGACGTTCCATCGATGTAATTAGTTTTTGTTTGCATCACAGATTCTGTAACGGCCGTCGGGATTGCCCGGATGGAAGCGATGAAATTATGACCAGCGATGGGAACGGAACAGTATGTGCCAACAGGTAAATTTAATGCATATTCTTATGTATATCGTTTATCGTAGATTTGTTTATCACCAAACACACAATTTAATGATGAATGCGATAGGGTAGACTACTGCATTCTACCTCGCAGAGATATTTTAGCGATTTCAAATAACTGTTGTGCCATACCATAACCCTCGTGAATCAACACGTGGAAACTCAAAAATTCACGGTAGGGTTGGTAACGTGACATACAAATGCAGCCAAAATAGGTATATACAGCCAACTCATATAGATATAGAGCCAATGCCACATGCATATACAGCATATGTCCTATGTATATACAGTCAACTCAATATACATGTACAGCCATTTTGGTTAAAAAAAATGTGGTCACATTCCTTTAAAAGTAATATGATTCTTTAACTCTTTGATCAATTAAACAAGTGGTCAATATCATTCATATGTTATCATTCTATCGCAACAGATACAACCCTACAGGATTAAGATGCCTTTTACCAGAACATCATATGTGCGATGATGTTAAACATTGTAAAGACTACAAAGACGAAGATTCATGTAAAAGTAATAAGCACTTCAGATGCAGAAATGGCGAGCTCATCTACGCCACTAAGGCAAGAATGTACATATTCAACCATATGTAATTAAACCTACACTTTCACAATGTCGGAATGAATAAATTCTCCTAAGCCTTATCGTACCATTTAAAAATTGCCAGTGCCCTCCTCAATTTAATAATATTTTGACATGTATTGAAGTAATTCGATATCTTCTTCATATTTTTACAATCAAACATTCACCACCATGTGGTAACGTACAAAATTCAGAACCGTCATAAAAAATTTCATTTTTCCAGGTTTGCGATTTTCGGGATGATTGTTTCGATTCCTCGGATGAATGTGGAAGGCCAGGGTGTAATAAACATTTCACTTGTCCTAATAATGGAAAATGCATTGCTTTTAATAAATTTTGTGACGGTAAGGAATTTTTAACGAGTTCTTCAACTCAGACAATATCTGATGCTTTCATCTAAAGAATGAAAATTGAATATGTTTATATTTATAAATATATATCTATATATATACAGGAAATGATGATTGTGGAGACGGAAGTGACGAAATAATGACAAATTCGACAGGATTTATGTGTAAAAATGCATTCAACCACTTTAATCAACAATGTGTTTTACCTGAACAATATGTTTGCGACAATTTGGACCATTGCGTGGGAAGGTATATGAAAACATTATTCCTTAACAATAATATATCTATACCGCAATAAATACCTAACTGATTTATGAATAATGGAGTTGATGTTAGTTTCAAAATATTTTTTTTATCAGGCATGCCAACTATAACTACAAACTTTACATGTATATATAGCACTGTTGTTTAAATTAGATGTAATTTTCTGACGAACGCTATTTTAAAAATCCTTGATTGTGCTAAAATTTGATTGGCATATAAAATACGACTGGCTTTTACTTTAGATCTGACGAATGTGGACCAGATTGCCAAAATTCATTTTTTTGTAAAAACGGTGAATGTATTCATCGTATGAACTTCTGTGATGGCACAAACCACTGCGAAGATAAAAGTGATGAACAGGTAGCTGTTTTGAATAAAAAAAAGTTCAATTACTATATACAGCATAATTTCAATACTTCAGGATTAAATTAAGGTCAAGATTATTTGGCAAATCGAGCGATTTCAGTCGTTTGTACAAATTGGTAAGATAATTGTAATCTAATGATTTTAACAGTGCTCGACATTAGGTATATAGGCTATATATTGATTGGTATAGTCTCCACTCATTTTCCATCGAGAAACCACTGCATCGAAATATCTATTTATGTTAACATAAAATGTTTTTTAAATAATATTAGTAATATTACAGGTTGCTGTATTTGGATTTAAATGCGATGTTATTCAACGTTTTCGCGATGAAGTACGTACTTGTGTTCTTCCTCAAAAAATGTTGTTTGATGATGTTTTTGACTGCATCGATCATTCAGATAGCTGTAATGAAAACGAAACGTGTTTTAGGTATGTTCATCTCATATTGGGTTAGATCATATACAATAAACAAATCCGATTTCCATGTACATATACATTTTTATTTTATAGTAAATAAAAAAACTGCATTTCAACAATTTTAAAAACTTTTAAGTCTTCCTATCCATAAATTTTCCTGTCAGACCTTCGTGAATTACCTTTGACAGATTGAAGAAGATTGGCGGATTTATTTTTATTTATCCTCCGCACTAAAATTTTGAAGACACTTTGGTATACATAAATGATATTTATCTTGTGTAACTAAAAATATGGCATTGCTTGGAACAAAAACTCACATGGACAAAAAGTTATTAAAGAAACATTTGTACTAATTGATACGATTATTGTTTCGACATAAGATTTACCATGTACTTTTTTTTAATTCGCGGGCATGTATCGTCAGTTTCTGATTGATACTTTTTACTTTCCGGTATTAAGATTGCAATTATTACAAAAATCAAAGCAAATTGTTGTTGTTCTGTTGCTCTGATGTATGGTGGCCCATCGTTGTCACGCGTAAAATTGAAAATAAAAATAAAAAATAAAATAAAAAACCGATAATAAAAAATTTTTTGTAAAAAAACATAAAAATAATTAAAAAAAAAAAAAAAAAAAATTGAAATTAAAAAAAATAATAAAATAAAAAAAAAAAAAAAAAAAAAAAATTAAAAAAAAAAATTGAATAAAAAGAAAATAAAAAGGTTGACAACGATGGTCCGCCTCGTGGCCCATCGTTGTCACGCGTTTTTATTTTCAGAAAATTTGCTTCTGCTTGGGACCAACGTTGTCAGGCATAATCCTACGCGCACAAATGTGTTCCCTGGGTTTCAAACTCACTACTGATTTTCTTGAGCAATATTCAATATGAAAATGTTCTATAAATTCTCCATGCTACAAGTTCAACAAGAAGTAATATATTAATAATAATGATAAGAGAATATAGAATTGAATACGAAAATTCGGAAAATTTGTTTTTAAGTGTATAAGGTAATTTAATTGGAGAATGCTGCTTAACTACTCAGTTGACTGGACACTCGCGATGCCGGTACCGTACCGTCTTACCAAATACCGGTAGTCGGTTATAGTCGCTTTGCGTCTGACCGTACCGGTAGCCATACAATCACTCATCATCTCCCATTCTTTCACGAGTGATTGCATGGGTACCGGTACGGTCAGACGATACCGTACCGGCATCGCACGAGTGTCTGAGCAGTTAAGCAGCATTTTCCAATTAAATTACCTTCTACACGTAAAAACAAATTTTCGTATCCAATTCTATATTCTCTTATCCTTATTATAAATATATTGCTTGTGGTTGAACTTGTAGCATGGAGAATTTGTAGAACATTTTCATGTTGAATTTATTGGATATTGCTCATGAAAATCAGTAGTGAGTTAGAAACCCAGGAAACACATTTGTGCGTGTAGGATTAAGTCTGACAACGTTGGTCCCAAGCAGCATCAAATTTTCCAAAAATAAAAACGCGTGACAACGATGGGCCACGAGGCGGACCATCGTTGTCAACCTTTTTATTTTATTTTTATCCAATTTTTTTTTCAAATTTTTTTTTTTTTTTAATTTTTTTTTTTAATTTTAATTTTTTTTTAAATTTTTTGTTTGTTTTATTTTTCAATTTTTTTTTTAATTTAAATTTTTTTTTATTTCTTTTTTTTCAATTATTTTTATGTTTTTTCACAACTATTTTTTAATTTTCGCTTTTTCATTTTATTTTTTCATTTTTTTTTTAATTTTACACGTGACAACGATGGGCCACCATACTGATGCAACAGGCGATGACACACGACCGTCGTAACAATCAGTACACTAATTCCTGACAGATCTTCCTCAATAAATGAACACATTTGAAATTTTTGTTTCAGATGTATGTCCGATAATTTCTATGTTTCGAAAAGACAAGTATGTGATGGAATATTTGATTGTCCTGATTTGAGTGATGAATGTTTCTGTGTACAACAAAATAAAAATATATCAGAAATATGCACAAATTATTGCCAATTAGAAGGTTAGGTATTTAATGTTTTCCATCGAAGGTCGTAAAATATTTAATTTAATAAATATATATTTTATAATGGAGCTGTTATACAAAATTTTCAAACAGTATTTGTATATTATCGAAATATCGGCTTCGTGCGATTTTTTATGAAAATCCTTTTATTGAATTATTCGATATAAAAACTTTGGTCTATTATGTGTACGCATGTAGATTCGCTATCGTGCGTCAGTTGTAATAGGAACGAGATATCTTGCAGTAACGGGAAAACATGCATCAGTATATCGCGTGTATGTGATGGAATACAAGACTGCGAAAATGGGGAAGACGAGAATGCATGTAAAGATAAAATAGAGGTATATGCCATAAGATAACTCTTTCGCAGAATCAAACAATTACAAACATGTTTTCTTATGTTCTAACAACATTCCAGAAAGATTGGTCAAGTGAGTCAGCGGTTTATACCTTTACTTGTGATGAGAAAAGTGACCAAGGATCTGCTATTTATGCAACGCTGTGTGATGGTATCCCGCAATGCCCTTTCGCTGGAGATGAATGCAAACTTTTAAAACCTGGAATGGTATGTAAAAATGACTAAACTGTTATTTATATGATATGAAAATAGAGTGATAATCAAATTTTTTCTAGGTTTGAAAGGGGCTAACAATGTTGTGATAAGATATATTAATATATCCAACACTAGAAATTTTATATACGATAAATTTCTGGATTTTGAACATATTTACGTATTGTGGTATACTTTAGAGTGAAGATGCTCTTGATCGTTCATTTTTCTGTGGAAATGAAACAATTGAAGTTTGTAAGAGTTTGGAAATAACGGACGACATTCTTCACTGTCCTGGAAACCCGCATCAATTTCTATCAAAAGAAGTAAGTTGACGAAAGGATGGTTAATTTTCTGAATTCGGATATGTAGTTAAATTACAAAACAGTTATACTTTATCAGATTTGCGACGGTTTCGAAGATTGTGAAAAAGATATAGCAGACGAATTAAGTCCTGATGAACGGAACTGCAAAGACAGAGTGAAATGTCCAACAAGTCGACCTAAAGAGTCGTTAAATCATAAAAGCTATGATTCAAAGAAAATATTTCATAGAAAATCTACAATTCATATTAGCAGTCTTTGTGACGCAAGAATTGATTGCGAAGGAGAAGAGGATGAGGCGGAAGGTGATTAAATATGCAGATTTATTCTGAATCGTTTTGCTTTTGAGCTGGTTCATTAGGAATTAATGATCATGAGTGCACACAATTTGGTCCATCATGCTATCGTCATGTGTTTTAGAACTATGTACAATAATACCTTACCCAGAAGCTAATAAGTTATAAATATTCAATATATTATATAATAAGCCAGAGTACCTACGACTATATTTTCAGATTTGTGTCAGGGTGAAAAATTGCAAAGATTTTACTGTGAAAGTAGAACACTAGGAGAAAATAGTTCAACAAATCCGGGACCATTATTTGTTTCGAATAAGGAAGTGTTGGATGGTAAGCAACACTGTAACGACGGCAGTGATGAATGTCCAACTAAGCTATTTTACGACAATATGTTTTCCTCGAGACATAGGATGATTAAAGTGAGTATAAAGTTTACTTGATTTCATGTCATATCCCGCTGCCTAAATTTTGTATTGCTCTTTATTTTAGAACATGATTCTCAGTGTCGCGGTTTGGTTGATAGGAATATTGGCATTGGTTGGCAATATTACAGTGATGTATAACACCGTAAGGAAATTACGATCACGGAGAAGGTATGGAAATCTGTGCAGTTGATATTGTAATTTTGATATGTTCATCTATTTTTCCAGTAGGCAGTTTTTGTATTTACAAACTTTGGTTTACAATTTCCGGTTGAAGAGTTGTTTGCCAAACCGTCTACTTTCAAAATCACGTGATTGTAAGGAATGGGAATATGAATTTCAGGTTTTCAGCTATGATGAGAAGCAATTATATATTAGTACTCAATTTGGCAACTGCTGATTTTCTGATGGGGATTTATTTGCTTGCTCTGGCGATACAAAACGCAGCAACAGACGGAAAGTGAGTTTTCATTTATATGTTTTTTCTTTAGATGAATACACATTTTGGTAATTGATATGAATTGTCGAATTCAATTCAGATATTGTCGCTATGATAGAGAATGGCGAACTGGATCAACATGTGCATCACTTGGAAGTCTCGCCATGATTTCAATTCAAGCTTCTGTTTGTTTTCTTGTTATATTGACTACCTATAGAATGATATCACTGTTAAAGCCTTTACATGTGGAATCACTGAAAGTCAGGTAAATTGTTTTGTTTGATAATATAATAGGTTTAGGTTTGAGGAAGAAATCGACTGGCAAAAAGTTCAATTTTGACCAATTTCTTTCCACTTTTCAGTCGGTAACAACTGAAGTATCTCAAAGAAGACCATAACTTTTATAATTATATTTATCTGGGCTCATTGGGCCTGATTGTTTTACATTTGATTTGAAATTGGGCCACCACACGGATTTTGGCGAGCTTGTGCTCAGCGACTAAATCTTTTCACTATGATGAAGTCACTTCCCTGTTGATCCATCCAGAAATGGTGGTTTTTTAATTTCATTGTTTATCTGTTGTCAATTGTAGTTTCCTCGTTTTATCAGATACACTATTGGGTTTGTTGTTTTGGCTTGGTTCTTTTCTTTGATCGTCGCAATCGCACCTAGACTTCCGGATTTTAAAAACTATTTTGTATCCTCGGTGTTTATCTCTCCTGGTGTTTATTTTTTCAATACGAACACTCCAACTAAAAAAGAAATGGAAACGTTTTCGAGGACACTACTAAAATATTCAAACGGTAAGAAAACGTAAAAATCATAAGGCATAACACTGGTGAAAGAGAACTGTATATTGTAAACGTGTTTAGGCTGAGAGAACTTATTTACCAATGATGGTTTGCTATCGTAGTCCCATGGTACCATTTATCATTCACTGACCGTTCTCATGATTTCATTTCTAGTTTATATGAATATAATAGGGAACAAAATGCAATCCACTCCACCGGCGATTACTTTGTTAATTTCGAGTAGGATATCGTATGAACATTGTTTTATACGATTTAATTGGTGATTAAATAATCAATTATTATTTAAGGATCTATGGTTTCAACTGACAGTATGTCTTGGCAGCAAATACGTGATACAGTTGATAATCATTACCCGGAAAATTGGCCTGAATTGCATATTTTGGGGGAATTTGGATACTACAGTAGCCACAGTGTATGCTTGCCGCGATTGTTTGTGAAGGTTATTATTTAATTTTATCTTTTCTTAAACTAGGCTGATCGAGCTCAGGGTGTCGCTGCTCGATAACCGACTTTGGTTCCCCGCGGTTTCCTAAGCACAGTAAAATTGTATGATTATCTCTTTTTTTGAATATTGTATATGATTGTTATATGAATATTGTATGATGACTTGGCTTGGCCTTAGGTCAAAAGATTGTATCAACTTAAGTCATAGATTATGATCCTCAATGATTTAACATTTCTGTTTATATGTATCATTTTTTCGATAACAGAAAAAAGTTGTTACCAATAAAATCTATTATGTTTCTTTATACTTTTTAGCAAGCGCTAGATCCTCAAAGTATTGTTTTGAACGCGCCGATTTTTTTTTTGTCTAAATATTTTTTCGATGTGTCCTCTGTAGCCTTTGTTTCATGTCAAAATACCTTCAATCATTGGTTTTGACGCTTGTTTGTTGCCCGAGAAAGATTAAATAAGACGGTCCTTATAACAATTCATCAATATACAATTGTGAAAAAAAATTATGGCTGAAACTTTATATTAATTCAGGTCAATGATAGTGCATGGCTCTACTCAATATTCATCATGATATTCGATTTGATATCCTTTTTGTACATTATGACCTCATACATAATAATTTATCACGATGCGGCACGTCAGGGAGCCATGGGTCAAAACAGAGCTGCAATAGAAGAAAATAGAACTTTGCAGGTTAATTATGTTTTCGAACATTCTAAGAATTTTCATTTAGAACTTAGCTTTAACGTGTTATGGAAAGTTAACACATGTTAGAAATTTTTCAAAACATTTCAATTTTGTCCGCATGGTTAAACACTCATAATGTTACCAGTAAATATAATATATGGATTTTGCATTTATCCCGTTTTAACTTTCTCTAAAACTTCGTTGTTTTATGCATTATATAAGACTGCACTGTTTACCATCTATATATTTTTTTTCATTTTATTTTTACCAATTATATCTAGGCTAGAATCGCATGAACAGCAATAGGGTAAAAAAAATACTCGATTACCAACACATGCCATGTTATGGGAGGATGCCCTAGATATCAAACCTGCAGTCTATGTAGCAACCTAATGACATTCTATGCCATTGAAATGGTGATTGTGGCGATATACAGAGTGGTGCGTGTACATTACTATTCGTACCTAACCCCTCCCCCTAATATATATTTCAATTTAATAATTTAGGCTCGTATCACGCGACTAGTCCTTGCGGACTTTTTTTGCTTGGTTCCGGTCTGCTTGACGGCATTTCTCAGTGTTCTTGGAGTCGAAATAAATCCGGTAGCTTATGCTATAGCTGCAATCGTTCTTCTACCAATCAACAGCGCATTGAATCCTATTCTATATTCAAATGTTTTTGGAATTTTATACAAGTAAGTGTGTTTGTTTAATTTATAGTAGTGGTTCGTTTGTGGCGTATGCAAGATGTTAGAGTTAGAGGAAATAGTGGAAAACGAAACTCGCTTACAAAAAAGATACAGCAGTGCAGGCGAACACAAAACAATCACTCGGATAAATAAAAGAGTAAAAGTGGTGCATAGGTCGCTTAACAATTGGTAATGATAATTTAGCTGGGTCACAATGTTCGTACCAACTGTTCACCAAAAGAAAATAATGCAAAGTCGTATTCTTCTGGCTAATAGTATTCATTACGAGCACATGCATCGCATGTTAATATTTTTCAGCTAAAACTAACAAAAACAGCTTAAAACAACTATAATTGTTACCAATGTTTTAGTTGAAATAAATTATGTAAATTAAACCAAATAACAAAAATGTGGTAGGAAATTGTACAGATTCGATTTCTTCCAAACGAGTATTTAACCCTCTTTTTCCGCTGGTTACAATCGACTTTTTGTACCATTTTATAATATGTAATGACTAATTAAACAAACGAGCCAGGAACACCCCCAATATCTCTTTGAAAAGCTTATTTTCGCGTCTTCCTACTAAAACGCGCCCATATGACGTAGCCGCAAACCATTCGACCTTACGCCGGTAAGAAGAAAGAAATTTCAAAAAATTTTGAGAGAACGTTTCACACTCTCATCGCTCCGATGAACACGTGTTACAAAGAAACAAGATTTAAGCGCTCTGCTCAAAGAGCGTTACGTCACCTTTGCAGAAAAACCAGACTCAGCTTCGCAAGCGAAGCGAAACGCGAAATATTCAATGATATGTGAGAGCATGTTCACGATAGTTGTCTGGAATCTTTGTTTGTTTATTATGTGCGGGAAATTGTTTCCCGCTCGTTCAAATGACTTATTTTTTGAAGTAATGACAAATACTTTCGTGTATCTCTAAGCTTTGAAATACCTACATAAATAAAATTCACTTAGTAGTAAAATAAAAAAATTACAAAAAAAAAAAATGTTGACAGATCAAGCACGGATCATAGTTGGATGCTCAAAATGATTTAGTTAGTGCGGAATACTTCACAAAACATGAACATAAACGTAAAATAGTCCGAAAATAACTATTATGACCAAGGATGGTAATACGAATATATTCGTCATACGGAACAAAAGAGTTTAATGCTTTTGAGAGAATGCGGTACATACCGTAACGACAGAAAGAACTGTATATAATAAAAAATATTTTATCTTAATCAGATCGATGGTTGCTTCAACTTCGTCATGCCGCAAAAAGATAACGTCGTCCCAGCAAAGAAGAAAACCTTACGCACAAAATTCACAAGTAACAACGTTACCAGATCAACGTAACTTTAGTTACAATAGATATATGACATCAATAACAAACGAAGAAACAGAGAGATTGCGTCTAGATAGTAACGCCTCTAGCAGAGCCGGAAATAATGGAAACTTGTCTACAGAAATAACGAAAACTACAGTTTTGAATGACTGAAACTTATATGAAGAAAAGCATTATCACAAGATAACTTTGCATGGCAATACTTGTCTGTGTATCTACCCTTCTACGATCGCTATACTTGCTGCGATAACATTTTAATTTTTGTTATGTTCGTAAATATATACAACATTTATAATGCAAATATTCTTTCAACAGCAAATAAATAATTCAGTGCTGTAACTGTTTGCCTATATTAAAATGTAATATTATTTAACTCTTTTTCATGCATGCATGCATGCATGAATAGAATGAACGTTCTACGCTCGTTTTGAGATTGCTTCGAATTGTTGCAGTTCTTACAAACTGATTTATCTGTTCAAAACTATCATTCTTTTAACCATATTCAACAACATGAGCTCATACGTACCGATAGCTAATTTTGGCCTGGTCTATTTATCGCAGCATTCGCGGGAAGATATTTTGAGTATTGCAACTAAACTAAAGCTCCTCGAAAAATATGAAAAAAATCAAAGTATTCAATTTGAAACTAATTCTGGAAAACACAACTGAAAACTGACAAAAAACACGAGAAACGACAAGAACAGGGCAAACACCGGGAGAAATCTTAAACAAGGAAAACTCCGAGTCGAAATAATAAATCTAACAAGTCCTTTGTGAATCTCTATTGAACCTTCTTGAATCGTGTTTGATTATGCTGTGGATGACGCGTTCTTGGTATGTAGTTAGAAGTTCAAACGCTATACACACATAACTATGGGTGTATATATATTCTAATGCTGTTTTATGTTCGTTTAAATACTCTGATATGCCCCAAATACAAAGTTTACAAAATGATCAAATATTATTGTAGAATATTTTATTATTCCATATTCAGCAAAGTCAAATTTATTTTCTCTGTTTGCATTGATCTTTCTCTCTTTGCAAAACTTGACTCTTGAATGACTCATGACCATCGGCGTCAATTAGCCTCTGTGCAAATTCATAAACAAATTAGATAAGTGGAAAACAATTCAAAACAAATCAATTTTTTTATAGAAAATACCGATCTATCGGTAAAATAGAATAATAGAGTTTTGAATGCTTTTCAACACGCATAAAAATATTTAAGAGACAACAATAGGCCTGTTCGCAGTTGATTTATGAATCAATTCTGTTGCTTAAAAGTGATCTCCATGCTACTATGTACTTGGGATTGATTCTAAATTCAGTTTGGATCAGTATAGGGCCAATGGTATTGCAGAAATTGAAAGTGTGGTTGCATAATAATATAAATTTACCATTACAAAGAAAAATTCCATTTGATCGATTGCAAAATTGCTCAAAATTAGGTATTATTCTGAATATGATATTAGTCGATCTTTAAATAAGATGAGAATATGATGTTTAGTAACTTCCTAATTTCAGACAAATTGATTTGTTTGTAAGACATGATACAATTTAGGCCACACGGAACAAAGTGAGGTTGTCAATGGTATCTGTAGAAATGAGATAATGATGCAAAATATTAAAAATTTACTTCGATAAAAGCATAGCCCCGTGTGGTAGTCACAATATTGATCAAGTTTACATTCGCCATGTCCTTTGCATGCTACACAAGAAACAAATTAGAAATACAATGTAACTGAATCATTAAAAACAATCTGGCAAGCCAAATAACGGCAACGCGATAATGATAATATATAATCTATATTTCCTGTTATCTGAAGGCCATGCGCAAATATTCGTAAAAAAGCAGGGATTACGAGCGTGAAACCCCCAACGATTCGTTGCAATATTCGCCAAAATTTCGATCATTGTCTCCATTACAATCTACACAAAGGACAAATCAGAAATAAACTTTGACTGAATCGTTTATCACAATCTTGTAAGCTAATAGACGAAGTAAGCCTAGACGAATTGAGTAATCTCTGAATCGCCCAAGAATATAGCAGACGGGTTTGATAAAAAACCGACGAATTTGTGCGTCATTTTACGTAAATGCCGCAAATTCGATTAAAAAAGTTGAGGAAGGGGACATGATTCTCCAGAACCCTCCTGGTTACACTTATGTAGAGATTAATTTACACCTTTGCAAGAGAGCCCAAATCGCTTATGTTTTTGCCAAATACGACTGGTCCTATGACTATGTGCCCTGCTGAGCGCTGTTTCGATGATCGAATCCGGTATTTATTTCAGAATAAAGACAAACATTTGTTGTCAGTAAGTTCTAATAGAGTATATTTACACAGCATGTGCACACTTTTTTGTGATGTCTTTTATAAATTTCAATTAGACGTTAAGGTATATCGTTCTCAACAGTTGTTGTTGATATTATTGGATGCGGAGTGGACATTTGAATCATTTTGTTGTTATATTGTTGTTGTGGGAAAAATATTTTTTATAACTGAGCCAATTGCTATGAAATTTTCAGTGGTTAAGGATTGTAGTTGTCACTAGAAAGTTATTACTTTTGTTTATTTCAAACATATCTGTGTATACTATGGGTTTCGTTTTTTAATTCGAAGCTTTGTGTGATGACGACAACAAAATGAAAAATTGCCTGCCATGGTCTCGGGATCACATCTCACTGATCTGGTGGTCAGACTACCGGCACTGTTGATTGTCTTCAGATACTGAGACATTGACTGCTCAGGTTTAAATGCAAGCTTACGTGTATGAAAACACCCGAGCCGAAAACGAAATTTTTTATAAACCTTGAACTAAATTGTTTATAGTGTTTTATGGCCACGGAATTAACTAAAACTACGTATGGAAAAACTTTTTAGCGCTGGTGTTAAAAACATATTTATTCTGAGCTTGAAAACTAATGCTTATTTAAATATCGATATCACTAAGTCAGGATATGTTCAAATAGGGCTTTATTATGGGCAGAGACTGCATGATGGAAAGTTATCCACCACTTTGATAACAAGAAAAAAAGATGACAAAATGAGAATAAGACCGAGATCGGTAACCGACCCCTGGCAATCATATCGATAGCTGGACAAATGAGAGCTGGAAAATTGTTTTGACTCGATTTCATTATAAAAATCTCCGAGCTATGATGATGAGGTATTTTTTGTGATGATTGGGAGGCGATGGTTGTATGTCACGTCGACCGTGGTTTCAAATTATCGTTTCTAACGTGGAATAGTCCACGGTATAAGCGTACGTACATTTCCATATAATCAGGTTGTCTTATATGTTTGCTGTCTCTCGGGATATAAGTTGATCAGGAAATCGGTTAAATTGTCTTTGCACCCGTCAATTGTACTGAGAACATTTTCGCCTATGTGCTCTGCATACATAGACATTCTCATTACATACAGATAGCACGCTTGTCCCATGCATATATTTGCACCCACGGACATCAGTATCCATTGATTTTTGCACCTTCAAACATTTGGACCAGTGCCCCTGTTCGTGATGTGTATTTGAACGCAAATAAATTTACACCGATAGACATTTTCTCCCACGTACATTTGCTTCCACGGATATTTGCACTCTGGGTTATTACACCACTAGGTATTTGCACCTATATATATTCATTTACGTCTATGACCATTTGCACTCACGCAGATTCCTTATCATGGTCCATCCACAAATACTGGATCTTCTTGTTAGGAAACCTTTATTCTCGGTCGTTCTATCAGTGCATCTAGCCTGTGTAGTGAAACCATTCGAGGAAAACTCATTTAGACTGTTTTCTAGGCTTTTATTAACTTAAAGATTACTACTATACTAAAACAAGAAAAAGAACAAGTTACAAGATGTAGCAATCCTGACGCACGCTAACCAAATAAAACCTTCGCATAGCCACGAGACTATTAACGATGGTGCCACGTTGGACACATTAGGTGGCGCTAATTCAATTTCATCACAATCACCCCACCCAGAAAGATCATGTATATATATAACAGAATATAAATGCACGAAAATTACAAAATGAAAATAGCACTTCGTACAATAAAGCTAAGAGATTCTATCTCCGTACCAATCCGGGCTCTTACGTATTCTACCAGAGCGACGAAGTTGAAGGCTTTCAGTATCTTCTACGGGAGTTTCCGAATTTTCATCCGAAGTAGAATTTAATTCATCCTGAGCTTCTGGCAAATCAGCGTCATTCAAATCATTTGGAGTCTCGGCTGGTTTAGCTTTAGATTGGTCGGGACATGGCGCCAAGTCTTTCACAGAAACTGTAGTTTGTCTTCCATCTGAGTGGCGTACCAGTGCATATTTGGAATTGGCACCCAATAGATCCACCACGTCGCAGAGAGGTTCGGTCTTTGTCCGAACGAATTTTCGAAGCAACACATTACCCCTTGAAAGTAGCCAATCGGGGAGCGATTGGCCCAGCATCGATCGTCGTTGAAAACCAAACAACCGTTCATGTGGAGTCGAGTTAGTAGACGTACATAATAAAGATCTTACGTTATGCAAGGCATCAGGTAAGACAATTTCCCAGGCAGCCTCTGGTAATTTGAGAAGCCAGAAGTAGCTTTATAGTCTTCCATAACGTTTGATTGATCCTTTCACACTGAGCATTTCCTGTTGGATGGTACGGAGTGGAATTGCTGTTAGCAACGCCCCTTCTTGCAAGAAACTTCGTAACATCTCTTGATAAGAATGACCGGCCTCTATCGCTATGTACGTATTCAGGTAATCCCACCAGTGAAAATAAGGAAGAAAGGCACTGTATCACAGTTGTAGAAGTCATATCTTTACAAGGATAGGCGAATGGAAAACGACTGTATTCGTCAACAATTATCAAAATATACTGCTTTTTACCGCAAACGGGACCCTTGAAACAATGCTGATTCGTTCCAGCGGACGAGTTGCTCTAATTAATTCATGCTTGTAATTGCCTTTAAAATATCGCGGCTTTAGCTCCGCACATTGCTGACAGTTGGAGCAAATGTGTTTTACATCTTCAGTAGAGAAAGGCAGATTCTTAGATCTGATGAAATGTGACAATCTCCTAACACCCGGGTGACCAAGTTGTTCATGAATACTTTTGAGGTCAGAATCAGGATTGCCAAAAAGGCAACTTATTCGAGACATAGTATCAGGGGCTACATTTTCAATCCCGGCTCGATGAACAACAGTATAATTGTAGCAACTAAGTTCCAATTTCCACAATGACAATTTAGTGTTTTTAATTTTGCTTTTATGTTTTTTTTGGAAAATGAAAGACAGGGCCCGTTGATCTGTAATTAAGCAAAACTTTCTTCCATGTAACAAATAACTCCATTTTCTGACTGCTTCTATAATAGAAGCAGCTTCTTTTTTAATTGAAGGGTACTTTATTTCACTTTTAGATAGTGTACGGGAAGTAAAAGCTACCGGACGACCACACTGATTTAAAATAGCAGCTATTGCGTTATTAGACGCATCACATTCAATGGTGAAAGTCTTGCTTTCGTCTATACTCCCGAGGCAGGCATTTAATAGATCGCTTTTCAAAATTTCAAAACATCTCATGGCATTGTTTGAAAGTGGAAACCCTGAATTTCTAGTCAAGGGAATTATTTTATCAGAAAATTTAGGAATCCATTTGGAATAGTAAGCAAACATTCCAAGGCAACGCTTTAAACTCGTAGAATCACGAGGAGGCTTCATGTCGAGCAACGGTTTGAAATGCTGAGGATCCGGTTTAATAGTGTTATGTGATACTAGATGACCCAACAGTGATAGTTCA